TCCGACCGTAAAGTGAAAGTGAGGGAGATTGCTGACATTCTACAGATATCAGCAGGCAGTGTACACACCATAATACACGAACATTTGGGTACGAAAAATGTGTTTTCCAAATGGGTGTCGCGTTTGCTCACACCGGAGCAAAAACAACAACGAATCGATGATTCAAAGAGCTGTTTGAACATGTTTACGCGCAATAAGTCGGAGTTTTTGCATCGGTACATCACGATGGATGACACATGGATCCACCATTTCACTCCAGAGTCAAATCGGCAGTCTGCTGAGTGGCATGCAGCCGGTGAAAGCCGCCCAAAGCGACCAAAGACGCAGCAGTTGGCTGGCAAGGTATGGCGTCTATATTTTGGGATGCGCATGGAATAATATTCATCGACTATCTCCAGAAGGGAAAGACCATCAACAGCGACTATTATATAGCGTTATTGGAGCGTTTGAAAGACGAAATCGCAAAAAATTTTTTTTTAATATATAATAAAAATTTTTTATTTTAATGAGCAAAATAAACATATGTAAAGAATTGTGCAGCCGTTAATGTTCATTTTAATAAAAAATTTAAGTTTTCAAAAATGCATTTAATTGTATTTCGAATTTTAGCGGATGATTTGGTTCAAGAACAGGAGCAAGAAATTCTGCAACAAAGGATCAATCGAAGAATTTGCGAGACGCTGCAAATCCACTTGAGTTCCGTGATTCCTTGTAAGAACAAATGTAAATTTAATTTGGTCTTAAAATAAACGTTTTTTTCATTATAGATTTTAGAGCAATTATTTACCTGTTAGAGGAACTTATTAGGGAAATACAACCAGCAACGAAAAAATTTTTGGCTTCTCCAATTGTAAAATTGAGCGGGTATTTGCGTTTTTTTGTTGAATGAGCTTATCAGATATAGGCTTGGAAAAGACTACGATGACGCTCTAGCTCAGTCTAGCTTCAGTAAAGTGACTTCTGAAGTTGTAAACATTTTTGAAACGTGCTCTTTACCAAAATGGATAAGTGTTCCAAAGACATCTGAGGAAAAAAGGAAAATAGCTTCAGCATTTTATGTTAAAATTAATATTCCCGGAGTAATGGATTACTTTCCATTAACTGCAGCAGCATTTGTTATTGCATTTTATTTGCGTTTTTAGTCCTGTGTAAATATCACACTAAAATATATTCCAAAAACTAATTATTGTTGGTTATTTACATGTTAAATTAAACTCTTTTTTTATTTTTTAACTTATTTTTAAAATAATTAAAAAACAACCTTACTCCATATCAATTTTTCAATGTTTTTATTTTCAAACATTCACTGCTTTTATACGAAATTGGAGTAAATTATAATTTAAATTTATAATTAGGATAAAAACGTCCTAATTGATGGACGTTTTTATAATAATAGTCCTATAAACTATAATAATAGTTTATAATTGCGCAGATGTTACAATAAAAAAGAAAAGATTATTTTGACTTATTCTAGGAGTTCCATTCATTCTAGAATTTGGGTTCCCTTCATTATCTATTGTTTTAAATAACAATAGTTAACGCTTAATTTGTGAAAGAAACTCGTGTGGATAAAATAAATAAATAAAAATTTTAAAATATTAAAATTATTTTAATAATTTTATTATAATAATATTTTTATATATATATATTCAAAAATCTGATCATTATAAGTTACTTACATATTAAATTAAACTCTTTTTAACACTTTTTTTACTTGTCTCCCAAACAATTTGCTTGGAAAAGATTTTGTGCAAAATTGGGAAACAACTCTTATTCCCATATGATTTAGAATAGCAAAATTGGAATAAGGGAAAAAACTCCCATTCTCATATAATTCAGAATATTTTCAGGTTATTGCGTAAAATGGTGAATTTCATAATATGTGCGCATACGAAGAACTAAGATGAATTAAATAATTATTTCATACCATTTTCAGTAAGGTTTTCTTAGTCTGAATATTTTCCGAATCAAGTGCATAGCGGAAAATTTCACGTAAGTTGTAGGACAGCAGTTTACAAGTATATTTGGTGTGTAAGCAATACCGTGACTTATAGGCAGTTGGCAAATATTTTTGGAGTATCTGGATCAGTAATTTCAGTAAACCATGAAAATATCAGCTGTAAGAGAATCAGCTGTAACAGATGCAATGAAGGAGTTTCGGAAAAAGCAAAACATACCAGTGATAATTGGAGCAATGGATTGCACACATATCTGAATCTAAAAGCCAAAACATCCTGGAGAAGATTATTTCTATCGCAAGCAACAGTCCTGCAAACTGTTGTAGATGCAAAAAAAGGTTCTGAAATATTAGTTGCGGTGAGCAATGATCGGGATTGCATGACTACCGAGTCTTACGGAGATCTGATTTATGTACCAGGGTAATGTAAAATTATGATGAGTTATTGCCCAATTCTGCTTTTTTAATTGAAGATTCGGCCTATACATGTACGCACCCGCTTGTGCCAACTTTTAAAGAATACGGAAATTTGATTGACAATCAAAAGAAATTTAATAAGAAATATGCATCCATACGGATTGCAATAAACAATGTGTTTGGCTTCCGGAGAATAGCAAAGTTTACCGAAAAACGCAATTTGGATGCGATTATTAATATAGTGATTGGTGTATGCATATTGCATAATATTTGCTTAATTATGGACGATTTGCATGAAAATCATGAAGTAAACAATAGCACAGAAGTACATGAAGAGGAATCGGATCTGTTCACAGATTATGAAATACATCAATCAATAGATAGAAAACAAAATGTTTTTAATTATTTAATAAACGAAAGTATAATATAATTTGTAAACTTATATATTTTATATCTTAAGTATAAATTAAACTTATCTTAACGTAATGTAAATATATCATTCAAATATATATTAAGTAAAACTAAACTGTATCTTGACGTAAATTAATATTATATAAACATAATTAAAGCGCAGCTTAGTTGTAAATAAAAAATATGTTATTAAAATAAATAAAATGAATCATTTGCTTATGATTGAGAATTCACAAGCTTGTCCAAAAGGGTCACTTTAATGTTTTCTACCTCCTGCTCCTTCTGTCACTGCTTTACTAACCTGTCCGCACCTTTTTTTCTTTGGTGAGCCTTTTCCAACAGCGTAACTTTTTACAATTTTAGCTTCTCGCTGTAGTAGCGGTCTAGAGTTGAACTTTTGCGTCTGCCTACTACAACTGAGCTGCTTCCTGATGAAATTTGTGCTGGTGAAGACAGTTGTTGCATTAAAGATGATGACGACTCGGCAAAAGACATTGGCACTAGTAAGGAAGATGAAGCAATTAGATCGGAAATTGTATCCACCTGCAAAACTGCTTCATTAGAGTCGAGTACCATATTTACTCTTTCAAATCGAACATGGAGGGTGTGAGCGTTTCAAATTCTTGAGGAGTTTAAAAAAATCTCATCCATAATCTCTATGTACGGTGCAAAACTTAAACTAGTGCCAGTTCTTCTATTGTTGTCAATAGCATATAGTGGCGGAGCTAGCCCAACTCTGGACGTCAGCGAATCAAAATTGCGCGGCCCCCTACATCACCGAGTTATAAAAGTCAATAATTCACATTCACTTAATCAATTTATTTTATTGGTAATTAAATTAAAAGAAAAACAAATTAAAACAAATGAATTTTCCTACTTTTAGCCTCACTGAATTTTGTTTTAAATTATATCATATTTTGCACCGGCTGTTAGTTTCACTTCAATTGATAAAATTGCCAATGCAGATAGTCTTCTTCTCATAGTCTTCTCTTCTCAGACTCATAGTACTTCGCAAATAAGTCTTAATCAATTTTAGCTTTGAGAAACTTCTTTCTGTAGAAGCTGTACTGACTGGAACTGTAAGCATGATTCTGGTTACTATATAATCATTAGGATATACTTCCCCTAAATTATTTTCTTTAATGTACCGGATGAATTGCTTTATATCGTTGATTGAGTCTATTGAATTCGATTTTAAAAGCAGTAGTTCCTCATACAGTTTAATGTCGCAGTTTTCACCTTTCCGAAGTATTATACCCAAAGCATTACAATGCTTGAGAAGATCTTCGTTTGGTATATTTTTTATGTGATTAATGTCATATATGAAACCAAATTGTTCAAAATATCCATTAAGTATTTTAAATCGACAATCGGTATCAGTTATAATAGCATCTATCATTGTGGTAAAAAAGTTTACTTTATACGGGTTTTCAACGGATTGTATGGGTTCGTCAATATGTTCATAACTGAACAATCGTATCTTCTTTACTAATCTTTTTTCTTTAAATTTAGGTGCAATTCCGTAACTACTTTTTTCATACAAACATTTGGCCTGTTTCAACGGTTTTATCAAATCCAGTATTCCGATACTCTTTTACCCAATTACGAAATGAACATAGACTTTCAATAGAGATCTTCAGGTTTATATTATTCGATTGCCATAGCAAAGTTTCGTACCAAACGTGTATGGCAACAATAAACTCGAAAGTTAGCATTTCATTCAGGACTGCTTCACAATCGCTTGTAGTTTCAGAATCATACATTAAGACTGAAAAGTTTTCGGAAATTCTCATTTAAAATTCGCGCGCTGTATATTTTTCGATATTTTAAG